TGAAAGCTGCTGGAATATCCTGGACAACATACAAAATAAAGACATGTATGCTTGATATTGTACATGCTCTATACAAAATGATCAATATCATATCAATGTGGGAGTATTTAGTGCTAATATCTGTTCTTTTATGTGCGTTCCTGACAATATTATACACATACATCATCATTTGTATACTGATTTGCTCCTAGAATTACTTGGCCTGTGTGTGAGCAATTTGCCAATGGTTAGTTGGGATTAATGTAGAGGGCTGACCTGATTGTCAGGTCCCCAAGTGTGTAAGAGGTCTCAGCATCTGGGAAAAGGACAGAGAAAAGATAAAGCAGGACCCCTGAGATCTAATACATGTCGATCAGATCAACATAAAACACTTCACCTTTCTATGAGGCTTTAACAGAGCAGTGACGTCTCTGAGCCAGTAGGTGGTACCAGAGTTCCAAGGATGAAACAATATTGGTTGGATTTTCATCACCTGACTCCTTTTTTGCCATCGGAGGAAAGTGGAACCAAAAGTTTGAAAACTCAAGTTTACTTCTGAGACCTTGGGAATGAATAGGATGGATCATTTAGGCAGACAATTGTTCTCATGATTGACCAAAAGAAAACTAAACAGCTCACAGTGGTTTCCTGATTGTTACACAACACAGCATAAAGAACTGACTGAAGAGGTGGGCAGTAAGAAATATTTGTATATGTGATATTAGAGTGATTATGTACAGTAAACAATCATGTGTAAAAGTATTCCAGCAGTTTGCTCTCACATGGACTCTCAGCTCATGAGTGAAGCAGGTGATATTAGAGTGTTCATATCTCCTCGGACATGGAAGAGACATTCATTTGCTACTATTTGCATGATATTTATTACTTTGATCACATGTTCTATCAATAAATGTAATTTCATGAGCATCATCTAAACCTGTATCTGTTTCTTCTCCTGGGACTTAAAGACACATCCAGTGATTTATTCCAGACACTGTTTCTGTATCTGAGCATCTGACCAGTGAATCAGGCTTACATCAAACATGCAGTGTCTATCTGATGGAAAACATTTGTTTCATTCAGTTACTGTGAAACATTGTGATAATTATTTTATTTATCGTATGGTGCTGGAGGCCTGGAGATAACAGGTAACTGCTACGGACAAACTGATGACCACTGCATTTTTTCTCGATAACACTAATTGGAAAAACAAAAACACAATCATCAACAAGGGTGTGTGTTGCAGGTAGACTGATCATCGTAGTGGGATATGAAAAACTGAAGTTAAATTAATTAACTAATTCATTTAAATTTTTTTTGGTGAGCACTGGATGGAATTACATTTTCTCCGATGTAGTATAGGATCAGATCATGTCAAATGTTTTAATTACATTATGAAGTAGACCATTTAAAAAGCATTGGAATAAAACTTTCAATTGAATTAGAAGTAAAGTGTGATTTTGTTACAACATCTCTAAAGTGACAGTAAAGGTGTAATCACACTTCGAAAACATATGGCAATGTCTTGGCTAGCGAAATCTAATGAAGCATAGTGACATGTAAATCTGTGAATAACCTCCTATTAAAAAAATTTTTTTTAAAAGACTGCAGGATAACAAGATGCAGCATGAGTGCCAGATAGCAAGTGTTAAAGGCCCAGAGGTGTTTTTAACTAATCAGATAATGCTTGTTAATGAAGTCATGATTTGTTTCATATGTACATGAGAGAAAAATGCTTTGAAACATAAATTTGGTCATTAATGCTAACGATATGGACATAATGTTTTCAATTTTAAATGCAAAAAGTTAAACATTGTAAAAGGTATTTTCAAACAGTTCAGATCCTTACGAAACAGCACTTTTAATAAAAAATGTGACATGTGAGCAGTATATCACCACATTTCCCCTCCCATCAAAACACGTAATTTATTATTAAGCTGACATAAACAATTTTGTTGATTCAATAAGCTACGCAATAGTTGCACCAGGGATTACTGGAGGTATATTTTCAGTAAGAACTAACAACTACTTCTGTGAGGTGTTTTTAATTCTGCGATCTAACATTACTGGGGTTCATACTTACAAACATCTAATGCAACCAACTTCAGGTTCTGTCAATATTCTCATTTAGTGTTGTTTATTGTGTAGGTATATCTTAAATTACAAAAAAAAAAAATGATTGTTGCTTTCATTTGACACACAAAGAGAAAATACCACAAATTACAAAACAGCATGATTTTATGATTCTATTGACAAAGTATTTTTTTAAATACACCTTAAATGTAGTAATTTTGTCAAATTTTAGAACAGAAAAAACAAACAACCACTCTCCCTATGAATGCAGGCAAATAAAAAACAAGAGAACACTCATTCATCATCACAGAGCTGTAGGATATAAAAAAGAGGTATCAGCGATGAAACGATTCTACACATAATCAAATCTCTGGTTCGACTGCCTTCCATCCATACTCTGAGCCTTGTAGGAATCATTGTAGGCCGGCCGGGGTCTAATGTCCGACTTGTACATGGTGTGTTGTGAGGCAGCTTTGTAGGTCATCCCATCATACCTGAGGGATATCAGAAAGTAATCCATTTCAAATAAAAGACAGAAAAGAGCAGAAATAAAGAGTCTAGTTAGAAGACCTTTTTGGCCCCTGCAGTGAATCATAATGTCTAGACTAAAAGAATATGGTTGAAATAAATGTGTGACCAGGAGAGGAATATATCTGTGTGTATTGTGTAAGCATTTGCAGCTCTGCATTATATATATATATATATATATATGCAGAGGAAAAAAACATACAAACACCAAAAAGCTTCCATTTGCATTTTGCTGAGTATGTGCCTTTAAATG